ACACCTGGTTCCTATCAGCTGCTGCTGAGATGAGAGCGGTGTCAGCAACTAAGAGAACTATGGCCAGGGATGAGGATAGGAGTATCCAGCACGTGGAGGAGGCAAGGACTGGCAAAGAAGATATCCCTGCATCTAGATGAAGATCTCTAGCAATTGCTAGAGCACCCAAAAGGACTGCAGAGCTGAGTGGTGGGAGAGTGCAGGAGATTCGTCCACCAGCCCAACACCACAACAACAAGGCTTTGTACAGCTGAAGAGCTCACAAGGGTCCCCATCCCTTCAAACCCAGTCTTGGTGCTGAGCTTGGTGCTTTTGTCTTACTTTACACCCCCTGATGATGTGTCCCTGAGAATTCAAATGCATTATAATTATCTCTCTCTCACTATATAGGAAAATTGCAGACCATTGTACATTATTCATCAGCATAACTTGACTGGAATAGATAAATTATATATGGCCTTTACTTTGGCAACACACATGGGAGGATAGGAAAGACAACTCAAAACAACAGCTACTATGGAAGAGCAGAGTCATTAGCACTCTGGTGAGAGCTTTTTAAATCACCCTGGTCTCCAGCCATAATTCACTGCCTTCAGACTTGTTCTAGTTAAAAATCTGTGCCACTCACTAGCCAGTTCACAGTGGGCAGCAGTCTCCATGATGGAGATGCTGCTGTGTCTGGCACTGATGGAAACCCCAGACTAAAACCAGCTGAACACCCAACTCCTAGCCCATGCCCTGGCCTGGATTATCTTTAAAGCAAAAAGAGAGCAGATGACCTCTCGCCGCTAGCACCAGATGATGGGAAACCTTGGTCCTGTCTGGGTGCTGAAGGAGTAGCTCTTCGTCCTCTACCTTCCTCCATGCTCAACCATGAAGGGTGTAACAAAAAATGCAAGGTTAGGAGATACCCCTATAGTGTGGAGTAGGAGCATTTCCTTCCGTTTGAGTAGTCTGGGCTGTTCTCACCTGAGGTGTCAGAAGAGAAGCAGCACAGATAGGTTTGCTTTTGTGCAGCACCTCTTTTTCAACAGAACAGGCATTTCTGCCACGTTCTGCCTTGTTACCACATCCCCCTGATTTCTGCCCAATTGCTTTGTCCTGGTGTGGGATTCAGAGGTTGTGAGCTCTGCAGGCAAGAAACTGCTAAGGTACCTTCCAGAATGGCAGCCCTTGAGCAAGATTGCCCAGCAAAATCTTGAGTGCAATTGCAACTTACTTGGTAGTATGGTCAAAAATACTGATTTTAATTTTGTATTCTTGCATCTGTCCAAAGCCTTAGATGAGTGACAAGTATCTCTTGTGCTATCTAGTGCAAAACTTATTTGTAAAGCCTGACTGTTCATTATTCCAGAGGTTTATTGCGGTTTCTTTCACCCCAAGAGACAAGTGAGGTGGTAATGCTTGTTGTTTAACATCAGCTGCAAAGCTTATCTCATTCCTGAGATACTTGTTTGGAAAAGAAGTTGGAACTTGGAGCCAAATACAGTGGAGACATCAATTATTGCTATCCAACAACTGCATCGGGGCTGAAAAATAGTGACTGTGTAGTAGCTAAGATACGTAATAAATGGAAACTTGTAAGTTAAATTAAAATAAAACACATTGTCAGCTTTAGATTTAGTTCTTGGATCAGCATATCTAAAAAATACTTCTGAACAGTTCTTTCATCTATGCCAACAACTTACCATGGCAACACTGTAAACCAAAACAAGGTGTCTTTTTAAGACTTCAGATGATCTACAACCCACCATATCTTAGGGAAATATGCTGTAAAAATTAATTAGCCTCATTGCTTACTGCTCTTACTATTTTTAAGACACATTGCTCTTTCTCTGTTTAAAAAGAAAATGGACTTAAAGGTAATGTGACTGTCCAGCTGATGCAGGCAGGAGAAATCAGCCAGCATTTGTGAAGGAAGACCATTGCACTATGAATTTTTTGGAGCACAGCATGACCTCTTAGGAGAAATTTGCATAATTAAATCATGGTGCTCAGAAAATTAAGTAGCTTGTACTGAGCCTTGGGTATATGATTAAGCTGGGCTGATAGTATTATCATTAGTGATCAGATGCGGTGTTGGAATGGCAGAAACCTTCTGTAGTCTGGAAAGATATAAACTACATCTCTACACGAAGGTTAATTAACATCTGTGAACTTCAGCTCATCTATAGTAGTTCTTCCAATTCAGGATCTGGCCATCTGAATTTTTGAAATGTCATGGACCATCATAAGCATGTCAACATGTAAGTGCTACAACCCTGATTATGAGGAAAACTCACTTTTAGCTGTTTGATGATTTAATGAAAGAATACCAAAGAACTCTTCCCCCCCCGACTTCTCTCTGTCCCACAGGCATGTCATTATTCAAAAGAAATAACTTCTTATTCTCCTGCCTGAGGCTAGCGTGAGAGTTAGGATCTCTGCTGTTAGGTAGGAGATATGGGCTTGCACTACAGATAGAGGAGGGAAATCGAGTTTCTCCTCACAAAGACGCTAACCTTGAACAGCAGAAGAGGTGAAATGGTATTTCGAACTGCACCTCATCAGTCGTACATTCTGAGAAAGCTTCATCCAGGGTTGGGAGCATTAATGAAGAGGAGTGGAGAGATGGCAAATGTGTGAATACCAAAAAGCTATGATGGGAAGAAAGATGCTGAACTGCCCAGTGGCATCAGGCACATCAAGGTGTGCTCAGAAAAGGGCCGTTGTGCACTTGAAAATCTATGACATGGAAGACTTATAACTAAGAAGTCAGATGCTTATAAAGTTGAGTAGAGGCTTGTGAAGGTGCTGTGTGATCACGCAACTCCAGCCTATTTGGAGTCCAAAGTTCAGCAGTATCAACATAAAACCTCATCCATGCCTAGCAGCAAAGGCTGGTGTTGTCTAATCCACCCCTCTGTTCCAAGGCACCACTGACTGCACCCAAAGCATTCCTGATAAAAAGGGCTCAAAATAAACTACCAAAATCTCAGACTGGTCACACTCCAGCCAGAGGGAATTTAGAGAATCAGATCAAAATTTAATGAGTCTGATATGGGCAAAGTGACTTTCCATCTCCAGAGAAAGTTGGAAACTGGAAAGCTGGAAACTGTTCTAGGTTTCTTCATTGGTTTTCACAGAATCACAGAATGCTGGGGATTGGAAGGAACCTCAAAAGATCATCTAATCCAGTCCCCCTGCCGGAGCAGGAACCTAAATGAGATCACACAGGAAGGCGTCCAGGCGGGTCTTGAATGTCTCCAGAGAAGGAGACTCCACAACCTCCCTGGGCAGCCTGTCCCAGGGCTCTGTCACCCTCACTGTAAAGAAATTTTTTCTCAAGTTTAAGCAGAACCTCCTGTGTTCCAGCTCACACCCATTGCCCCTTGTCCTATCATTGGGCATCACTGAGAAGAGCCTGGCTCCATCCTCCTGACATTCGCCCTTAACATATTTATAAACATTAATGAAGTCACCCCTCAGTCTCCTCTTTTCCAAACTAAAGAGACCCAGCTCCCTCAGCCTTTCCTCATAAGGGAGATGCTCCACTCCCTTAAAGTGGAGTTTTGCTTTAATCCCAGTTAATTTTTCCACAAGAAGCAGTGTTTTTGTTTCTCCCTGGTGTTTAATAGTGTGTGATATGAAGGGATAATGTTGTTAGAAGATAACACTGTTAACATGGTGATGGACTCCTGCTGGAGGGTAAAATGCCAAACCCAGTGACTTATTTGAGATACAAGAAGAGTAAAAGCCAAATCTTTTTTTTTTTTTTTTTTTAAAAAAAAAACAAACCAAAACCAACAACACAAAAAACCCCCAACATTTCTTACTCCCTTAAAGGGAAATGATTATTCTTACAAAACACTCTTTAGTAAACTGAGTTTAGAAGTTTACAAAGTCCTGCTGATAACAAGCCAACTTTGAGAAAAGTCCTGGAATTGCGGGTGTCTGCAGGGCTGGAGTTGATTAAGTGTCTGGGATAATGCCCAGGCAGGGCCACACTGTTATTTGCAGGGTTGGGTTTTCTTTTCTTCCTCATTTCCTAACTGTTCTGACAACTCATACAAACACCATCGTCCTGATAAAAGAACAGGGTGGACTGTTTGTGGGACTCGGTCAGCAAGAGAGGCTTGGTTTCTGCTCCCAGCTTTCCCACTGGCAAGCAGGGTGGATGTAGAAGTGTGCTTATGGAGAGCTTTCCCAACAAGCTCCTTCACAGGCATTAAATAACTCCCTGGATGTGCTGATCAAGAGGGGAACACATCTGATGAGTTGTGAATGAGCATGGGAGCTACCCAGGCACTTGGTGTTTTTTTGAAAACCCAATTTTGTCTTCCCTACATTGGGTCTCTGTGTTGGAGGCCAATGCCCATCAGTTGGTATGTTGAATAGCAGGCAAGAAAAGATGTAGGTAAGCAACTGGAAGCTTTCTTTTGTTCTCTTGGGAACCAGTATGGCTCAGTAACTAGTCTAGTGGGTTGTGTGATGAGATAGGAACCAGCTGAAGAGCTGTGGGTAAATCTGTGTTGTAGTTTCCCCTTGTGTGAGATAGGACGTGTGCTCCTGCCCTTTCTTATAGAGTGCTTTGAGATGTACAGATGATCAGAGCTGTATAAGATGTTGGTGCCATTATTAAGCATTGCTTTAAGTGCCTCTAATTACACTTTTTTGAAGAGCGGCTTGAGTAATGTTTCCGAGGGCCCAATGATAAATCAAATTTTGCTTCTAGTAAATAACCTAGCCAGGCAATTCAAACCACTGCCTTTTTACATGGTACTATGCAGCATTAAGTGATGCGCTTGCCTATAAATAATTCATCCTACGAGGTTTTCAAAATACTAGAAAATCCTCAGGTTGCTGAATTAAAAAAAAAAAAAAAAAAGAAAAGGAAAAAAAAAGAAAAAAAAAAAGAAAAAAAGAAAAGAAAGGAAGAACCCCCCCAAAACATAAATACATTGCTTTTTGGAATGTGACCTAATCAGTTTTTCATTTCTGATGAACGACGTTCATGAGCGCTGGGGAAACTTAAAGCTCATTGTACTGAAATCATTTACAGGCCCCCAAAGAATTAAGAGCAGGCGTTAAGTAAGGAGCTAAATTATATCAAAACCAATCCAGACTCACTATGGGGTCATTCATGTCCATACAATGCAGAGTGTTCAAACACATGGTCCTGTGTTGTTAAGAGATTTGTTTTTCTTGTGTTTATCTCCTTAGGCCAAGTGCAGACTATTAAAGCTTGGATTCCCTGAGCCAATACTAGGAATCATTTTTATTCTCTGAGACTTTGGATTGAATGGATTGGCATATGTGTTTTGTTGTACAGAGTGGACACACACTGGTTTTCAGGCACACCTCCTGCAAATTCTTTTTGTGTAGACTTCATTAATATTCTGTTAATATAGTCAAGGCATGCAGGACTCAGACGCTTAAGCATATTGCTGATCTCAAGTGTGTGAATTTCCCCTTTAGTGTTCAGTGTATAATGATACACATGACTTTGTTCCTGGTTGAGCCATCAGAAGTATTTTTAATTTTTATTAAATTGAAGCAGTATGGATACAGGGAATGGCTTTTGCTTTGGGTGTCTCAAAGAAACATACTGATTAACAGATTTTTAGGGTTAGCTAGCAACTTTTAATGCAGTCACCGTATCAGACTGATGTGTCATCTGCAATATACTTGGCACATTGATTTAATTTGATGATCCAAGGGCTGGAGCACCTCTCCTATGAGGACAGGCTTACAGAGTTGGGACTGTTCAGCCTGGAAAAGAGAAGGCTCTGGGGAGATCTTATAGCGACCTCCCAGTACCTGAAGGGGGCTACAAGAAAGCTGGGAAGGGATTTTTTCATAAGGGCAGTTAATGACAGAACAAGGGGAAATGGCTTTAAGCTGGAAGAGGGGAGGTTTAGATTAGGTATTAGGAAGAAGTTCTTCACTGTGAGGCTGGTGAGACAGTGTCCCAGGTTGCCCAAGGAAGTTGTGGATGCCCCCTCCCTGGAAGTGTTGAAGGCCAGGCTGGATGAGGCTTTGAGCAACCTGGTCTACTGGAAGGTGTCCCTGCTGATGGCAGGGGGATTGGAACTAGATGATCCTTAAGGTCCTTTCCAACCCAAACCATTCTGTGATTCTATGAATTTGAGTCCTCTTCTCATTGCATCTAGCACTTACTCTGTGCTAGACCTAAATTGGCACCTGTAAGCTGCTCCTGCCAATCCAGCACCTGGGATTGTATTCAGTGTGGTCAAGGACTACTTTTAAACCCATCAGTGTTGTTGGCTTTGTCTCTCAATAGGTTCTCAGCATGGTGATCAATGCAGCTTACAAGCCAGGGAGTGTTTTACGAGAGCTGCAGCTAGTGGAAGACCCTCAGTGGAATTTCCAAGAGGAAACACTTAAAGCAAAGTAAGTATTCAGTGTACGCTCTTTGATTTGGGAGATTTCAAAAATGAAAATGACTGGGGGGCCGGGGCCGGGGCGGGGAAGAAGAGAAAAGAGTTTTTCTCTTGTGAGAGTTTTACTTTTCTAATTATCATTTTGCTTCATTGAATTATTTGATTCATTCTAGAGCAACTTAAGAAACAAAATATTCACCTGAATGGTTAATTTCTATTGTGTTTCTCCAAACAACCATCCAGATTTTGATGAAAAATGCTAATTTTATTCAGTGAAGTCCTGAGTTTTATCATAAGCTCTTCCTATAAGCTTGACTATTTTTGTGTTAACTCAATCCCTGGCTTTCTAAATGTAGGAGGGTTACTGCTTTTAATATAGAGACTGGCACTCTAATGCAGAAAAACCTGGTGAGAATGAATGGCCCAAAAAAAAGTGCAAACAAAATAGTAGGGACACATTTTTAAGCAGGAGAGTGATTAGGACAAAATACTAACAGATTCGGGTCAAGATTTGAGGCCTTTCTAGAATATATGCTTAACTTCTCATCCAGGCAACACTTAAGAAAACTGTGTATCTAGAAAATACTCAGTTTCCCCTTCCAACTTTATAATTTACCCATTTATGTCTACTTCATTTAATGAGCACTAGACTCAGGATGTATTTCAACAACCATTGTCTCTCTGAAAGAGGGGAGCCTCACTTAAGCTCTCTCCAGAATCCCTCCAAAGAGCAATTCATCCCATTTCAAGGTGGATGTCAACAAATAGTTCTTTGAAGACAGCTCTCTCCATTGACTAACTTGGTTACCTTGACTTTTTGAGTACTGTAGTGAAATGTGGTGAATCTCACCCTTTGTACTGAACTCTGTTACTCCTTTTCAAATAGAAGTAATTTTTTCTCGGTTATTTGAAATGATTGGCTGTCAAATATAGCGCTATTGATTGCTATTGTGTTTGATCTTTGGCCATGCAGGTATTACAGAAAGTTCATGTGTGCTCTGGTTGAGGGAGAATTGAAAACCTTTTATTCTGCATGTTCGGAAACTGCTTTCTAAAGGAGGATTGCAATTAGAAATGAAAAGCTACTAGAAAATCCTATTTCTAATTTGCTTCTTTCACCCATGTGGAAAGTCATGTTTTTGAGTGTGTCAATTGAAATTTTGTGGATGAAATCTAAAAGTCATCCTTTTGCATGCAGATTTTCATTTTTAAAAAGTCATCAGCCATGACCTGGTTTTCATTTATTCTAGGCTCCCACACTTTGTACTAGCAAACCTCAGATAATGCACTCCTACAGGTACTTAGCAGTTGTGAAATCAAGTTATAACTCCCTATCTTAAAGTCCTGTCCTGCAAAGACTTGTGCTTACAGGCAGCTTTCCTATTAGCAGTATCCTGAAATAAGACGTTATTGGGATTTCTCGTTTGAGTGTGGAGATCTACCTTGTGCAAAAGCAGCACTATCTAGTTCTTAAGGCTGCTGCAATCATTATTTCTAATGGGAGACAGCCTGGAAAACATTTAGCTGACCGTCAAGTGCAGGGATGTCTTGTCCTTGATATCAGCTATGTCTACAGCGCAATCCCCTGCAACCCCAGGCAGGTTGCTAACTCCAGGTGTGCTTACACCAGGAAGACCAACTCAGTTATGAGTACATGGGCTGCTAGAGATTGTCACTCATCCATATCACATCAACCACTTACCCTCCCTTGCTGTTGCGTGGTGTCCTGTAATTACATACTGTAATGACCTCTTCCATCTCCATTTCCTTCCCCCATGATGCTTCTACCTATTTGTCCTGTGTCTGTTTCTCCTCCCATCTATCTAGCAGGGCAGACAGACTGCTGGGATATACCTTATATCCATATAGCCTGCCAGATAAAAGTATACCAATGCTTTCCAGCAAGGAGGTTTTGTATTTTATGTTGGGTTAGCCAGTCACAGGCTGTGTAGATGTTCCTGTGTGATGGCTACCCCAGGAGGCAGCAATCTCAGGTCTTCAGTGAGTCAAGCAGCATCTTTCAGCTTTATCAAGCCAACAAATGAGGGTCATTACAGGCTCAGAGCTGGGACAGCATGTTTTGGAGTGACTTCTAAGCACAGAAATGCATTCTCATTCAGTGTGGCATTGTCCTCTGGCTCCTGAGGAGACAGAGCTCATGGGACTGGACAGCACCTTGTTGCTATAGCTATCTGGCTTCTGAGGCTGGAGCTCTGTTCGCAGAACAGTGCTGGCTGGTCATATCAGCTTACCTGTGGGTATTGTGAGTACTTCTAAGAGTGGGTGATGAAGGATTATAAAATCACAGAATCATTTGGTTGGAGAAGACCTTTGAGATCTTCAAGTCCAACTGCACCTGTCCACTACTAAACCATATCTCTGAGCACCTCATCTACCCATCTGTTAAATACCTCCAGGGATGGTGACTCAACCACTTCCCTGGACAGCCTGTTCCAATGCCTGAGAAACCTTTCAATGAAGAAATTTTTCCTGATAACCAATCTGAATCTCCTCTGGAGCAACTTGAGGCCATTTCCTCTTGTCCTGTCACTTGTTAATTGGGAGAATAGACAAACCTGCCTCACTACAACCTACTTTCAGGTAGTTGTAGAGAGCCAGAAGGTCTCCCCTCAGCCTCCTTTTCTCCAGGCTAAACAACCCCAGCTCCCTCAGCTGCTCCTCACAGGACTTGTTGTCCAGCCCCTTCACCAGCTTTGTTGCCCTTCTTTGCACACGCTCCAGCACCTCCATGTCCTTCTTGTAATGAGGGGCCCAAAACTGAACCCAGCACTCGAGGTGCGACCTCACCAAAGCTGAGTACAGGGGAAGGATGACTTCCCTGGTCCTGCTGACCACACTGTTTCTGATACAGGCCAGGATGCCGTTGGCCTTCTTGGCCACTTGTGCACACTGCTGGCTTATACTCAGCTGGACATGCCCTAAGACTGCCTGACTACCTTAGGACTTCCTTCTTTTTTTCTTCCTGAGTTTGCTTGGGTTGCTTCATCAAGAAGCATACCAAGGTTTTAATTGCATTTGGTTGTGCAGAAGCAGCAAAGAAAACTTTGATTTCTCATGAAATCAGATACCCTGACATGCACAAACAGCACATGGCATGATACATTAGGTACGACAGTCAGTTGTGCTTCAGAATCTTAAACAGAGACCCGTAATGAGCAAATGCCTGTCTACACCAACTTCAGCTACACTGGCTCCCAGTGATGTCTTGCTGCTAATGATGACAGCTCTACAGCCAGCTGGAGCGTCTGTGCTGTAATGTGACATGTCATGTCACTGCCTTCCTTCTGATGTAAACTGACAACTCCTTGGATCTTGACAATGTTGTTGTTTGTTTGCGGCGACGGCTGCAGTAGGGTAGAGCAAAGGGGAGGGAGGAGGACAGTGAAGAGAAGGCTGTTTTTCCCACTGGCCCAAATGCCAACTCATGTACTGCCAGGAATGCATTATCTCAGTCCTAAGGCAACCTGCATTTAGTTTACTCTGCTGTCATGAGTGACCAGCTCAGAATCAATTACACTAGCCTTGCAAAGAAGATAAACAATTTAGATTGAAGAGATGTGTCTGCAATGCGTGATGGCAGTTGGGTCCCATCAGTGCTGCTGGCTCTCTGTGAAAATAGTCAAACCTGATTTATTGGTGAATGTGGGTTAGAAATGTCAGGCCCGATCTTCTGAATTCCCATGAGGGACAACTGAAGCTGTGGGCTTCCAGCTCTTATAGATGCTTTAAGTTCAGTGCCTACATCTAGATTTGGCATCCAAATTTTACATAAAATGCTTGAGGGCTTTTATGCTTTTTAAGGGTTTTCATTTCTAAGGTCTGTAAATGGGGCTGTTTGGATTTACCCATTTTTGCAGGACTTTGGACATGAACAGTACCAGTGTGTGCAGAGTTATCTCCTGGCTCTTGTATGAAGCCCATCAAAATAAGAAAAATGAGTGATCTTGGATTCCTTCATTAAATGAAGTTTTGAGAACTGTCCAAATCCAGTAGCTGGACTGTAGAAATATTAACTCCCCATCACAGACACCATTGCTTATTTATGAGGCTGCATTTCAAAGAAAGTCTTTTCATTGTGGATGCTTTAGAAGACAGCATTGCACTTGTGATAGATGATGTTGAGGTGTTTAATGTCTTCTTTGCTTCAGCCTTTGCTAGCAAGGGTTGCTCTCAGGCCTCCCAGGTCCCTGTTACTGTTTGAGGGAGTGAAGTGTTAACCACAGTAGATGGGCAGGAAGCTAGAGACACTGTAAGCAAACTGGATGTGCACAAGTGCTTGGAACCAGATGGGATGCAGCCAGCTCTGCTGGAGGGAACTGGCAAATGTCATTGCAAGGCCATTCTCTGGCTTCTTTGAAAGGTGATGATGATCAGGGAAGTTTCCTGATATGTGGAAAAAAAGCAAACATCACACTCTTCCTCAAGAAGGGCAAGAAGGAGAATCCATGTAACTATAGGCTGTCAGTCTAACGTTCCTGGGAAGGTTATCAGGCAAATCCTTCTGGAAGCTGTTTCCAAGAACACACTGGACCAATAGGAGACTGGGAAGATCCAGCATGGATTTATGAAGGGCAAGTTGTGCCTGTTGTGATGAGATAACTGGTTTAGTGGTTAAGAGAAAAGCAGTGGAAGTTATTTACACTGATTTTAGCAAGGATTTCAACACAGTCTCCCATAGCATCCGTATAGTCAAGCTGGGGAGATGGGGATTGGGTGCGTACATGATGAGTGGAAAGTTGGCTGGACAGCTGAACCCAAAGGGTTGTGATCAATGATATGAAGTCCAAGTGGCAGCCAGTTATTAATGGTGCTCCTCAGAGGTCAGTACAAAGCTACAGCTCATATAATCTGATTCATCTTCCACATTGGCTCCATCACAATACTTCTTGAGGCACTGCAAGGCTGAATTAGTGTGATCAAGTGGCTTTCTGTGCCAAATGTTTGAGATAGAAGTCAGTAGCAATAGTGCAATGACTTAAAACCTTTCTTTCCATAATCAAGAAGAAACTGAACAAGACATGTCCATAAAACCAGAACAATTCCAAGGCCCTTCCTGAATCCTGTCTTCAAGAGTACAAAATTTCACTGGATGATTAAATAACTTTGGAGAAAAATAACTACATTTTTATTGATTTTACCAAGACTTAGATTATTTGCAAAATCCTTGGTATTCAAGATAACCTTGTGTAGCTTCAAGGGTATCGAGGGTTTTGATGAAAACTTCAAGATTTTCTGTCATTGACAGTTGCAATGGCCCATACAGGCAGGGTCTGACTCAAACTTAATGAGGTGGATGTTAGACAATTTCTCCTGCCGTACTGCTAAGTTGCTTCTGGTAGACCCAATGCAAAGAGATTTGTTTGTGTGCTGTGGGTAGCTTGGTTGTGTGCTGTGGGTAACTAGTGTTTCCTGGAGATTTCTCATGTCTGGCAGACTTTAAGCTAGTAAGACAAATTGAAAATTTCTTGCAAAAGAATAGATAGGAGGTTTTGGTTCCCTGAAAAGAAAATTGGGCTCTTAGCCACTAAATTGTTCAAAATAATCTCAATGATTGTCAGAACTGTGGATGAGAACTTAGAAAATGAGGGTAGTCTCAGTGCTTTTGCTGTTTAAAGTGGCTCCAACATGAGGCTTTTCACGTCATCACAGAGTGGTCCCTAGCTGGAGGTCCTTGAACACATTTTGTTCTCATGAACCTCTGATCTATTTTATTTCCAAAGGAAGCTTCAACAGAAGAATTATATTGCCAGCAAAGTGCTATTAGCTTAATATTGTTGCTCATGGATCAGCAAAGATCCTGAGTATATTTTTCATGGAAATAGTTTCAGCCATAAAAGTTTTTCCAGTTTTTGGGATCTAAGGGCAGGGAAAGGGGGGGAGGAAAGGAAGATTTATTTGGCTTTAGCTGAAAAATCTTTTTTAAAAACCAGTGATTTCTAAGAAAACTGAAATTGTTATGCTTGACACAGCTGTTTTCCAAGTCTCCAGTGCTGCCATGCTGTGCATGCAGGTTACCTACTGCTTAAAAGTGTTTGGGAAGATAAAAGTCCTAGTATGAAAACATCAGTAGGAATATCAGTAGCTGGTAATTGTTTTGAGCGATGCTAGTGGAAAAGGCTTTTCTGATTATATCCAAAGGAGATCTTTCCACATGGCTGTCCTAGAACAACTCAGATTACATTTGGTGGTGTTTGTGTTAAAATTTTTTAGTGTGTGAGGAATATGGAAAATATTAGTAGAACCCAGTTTATAGTTGAAAGAGGTGCTGCCAAAGCCAAAATCATGTAAAAAATATTACTGCAGGCACCTTGGGTTATTGAGACCGATTGCTGCAGTCATGTTGATCTCCATTTTGCCATCCGTTCTGTTAATTGCTATGTATATTGCATTCAAACCAGACTGTGAAATCAGTCAGTTGTTCATTTTCCTAGTTTCATCTTTTTCTTTCAACAAGCAGTTTAGTACAATGGGTCCTTTCTGGGCAGCCAAACACAATGGGAAGCTCACAGTTAGAAAAAGTCAGCCATCCTTGAATAATACCCATCAGGCAGCTTTCTTTGCTTATAAGAAAGAAGATCAAGAGGCAATTTGATTACAGTGCTTTTGCAGGGAAACAAAACCAGATGCAGTCTTTTTATCCTAGTGGTGAAAGTCAAAACAAGGACAAATAAATGTAAGTTAAATCCAGACACATCCAAACATAAAGTGAGGCACAGGCTCATGAGGTATCGGTACAGATGCTCCTGCTGCCAGGACTCTTCCAGTATGGAGACCCTCAAGGGAACACTGGTGCTTTTCTGGAAGTGATGCTTTAGTCCAACCCAAGTTGTTGGGGTTCAGGTGAAGGTAACACACTGAAATTCTGCAGCCTGTCACAGGAGTCAGACTTACCAGCTTAATGATCTAGGCCGTCATTAAATCTAATGGCTCCTGGAGAAGTAATAAGAGCAGGAGTCGTTTCAAACATATTGAAAAGAAATATAAAATGTTCATAAGTAGATATATTTAAATGCCTGTGGAATTTTTTCTTTTGATGTTCAGTATTGCCAAATCCTCTTTAACCAGCCTGCCTGTGCAATGATTTCACAGAGAAGCTGGGATAACAGTGTTCTGTACCTGGAAGGAACACTTTTTCCATTTTACATCATCTGTCCAGGTCTGTCGGGGTGCATGAAGAGTTGACTAATTAAGTCATTTTTTCATTCATTCATTTGGATCAATGAATCTAGAATTGTCTCCATGACTTGGGGTCCATGGTCAGGCACCAAATGTAATATCAGAGCCTGGTGCCTTGCAGAAATGCTTCTTTAGGTTATGAAAGAGTTTTGTGTTGAGGTGATTGTTTGGATCAAGTCTTTTGTGACATGAGGATGGTTGGAGTGGGCTGTTCTCAGACCCAAGTTTCATTAGGTTACTCCTCTATAACACTTTATGTACCACTGTTTCAAAACCTTTTCCCATACTGCAGCATTTCCACAAAGAGCTTTTGGGAGGGAGAGCAGAAAAAGGTGGTTTCTTTGTTGCCTTGTGTAAAACCTTCAGAGAGGGATTAGGGTCTGGGTGCATGCTGCATATTTTAACACTCTGACCACATCTCCTTTGTTTCACCTTCTCCTCCTTTTCCTCTTCCATATCTATCAACAGCTGATTCCCTGCTAGGGAATTGTGGGTCTTAATACACTTGCAAATGCTTTGTCTCATTTTTCCTGGTGACTGTATCTTTGTCTTTCATTGCCTCCCATCCAGTAATCTTTCTTTCACTGTCTCTCTTTTTCTTTTGTGTGTGTTATTCTTCTCTCCTCTAAGCACATTTATAATGCCTTAGCACCAGGCACTCGCATGATTTTCTCTTGTGTTGCATTCCTCAGGACACGTAAGAGATGTTTTAAAAACCTTATCTCACTGTTTACAATAGCTTGGTGCTGCTGTTTAATAAATTATGGGGATAATTGGTTTTTCAGAGTTCACATCTACAGTGTATTACAGCAGGGATGTAACTGTATCTTTCTTAGCCATTTATCACTCAGAAACACTTCATATAAAACACTGAAATGTTTTAATAGTACACGGATAACAAATTTAAGGCAAACCTTTCATAGCATATTTCTACTCTAAACATTCTCTGTAGGAATCAGTTTTCAGGGCCTGTTGCTGCAGCCCTTTTAAACAACTCAAGAGACTCCTGATTAGTTCCTCGGGTTTTGTGTTGCCCACATCTCATAGAGGTGAAATCATCTGATCCCCGTATGGTAGACAGTACGGTTTCACTCAGATACTTCTACACTGTGTGTGTACCCCAGTAACCACAGTTGGCACAATGAAACTGTGGGCTTGTTGTGAGCTGGATCGTGGTGTGAGAGCTGCCTCGAGAAAGATGGCAATGAAGAAGACCAAAGGTGTATTGGAGGATTATAGAGACAGTCTCCAGTGTAGCCCAAACACAGGGTGGTGACCAGAAAGCTCTGTAAGGCACATAAGGTTCTCATCACAGGTCAATATATGAAGAAAGACTACACTGCTCTCTCCTAAACTTTGCTTTAGTTTGTAGTATGGGCTTGCTGTCCTGTGTAATATCCTCACCAAGCCTACTGTGATTTTTTTCCATCTCTTGCCGTATTTACAGATATATCCAACCTACACATGCATTCCTCCCCAAATCATGTCCACACCTCTGATTCCAGGATCATTTCACCCCGCTTTTCCTTCTTCAACTCCATCTGAAATGGAGCCACCAAAGCAAGTAGACCTATTGTACCTGCCTTCCCAAGAAAGACAGTCTTCCAAAAGTCATTAGGGAAGATATCTCCCAAACAGAGGAGAGTCTCGTCTGTAGCATCGAAGGGTGTCACCTGACTGGAGAAATGAGCTCTTGTACTCTTTTCTAGATACAGAGGGAAGACATACAGGGCGACTGTTAAGATTGTGCGAACATCGGATCAGGTAGCAGATTTCTGCAGAAGAGTCTGTGCAAAGTTGGAGTGCTGCCCGAACTTGTTCAGTCCTGTGCTGGTTGCTGAAGTCTGCCCAGAGAACTGCTCCATTCATACTAAAACCAAATACAGTGAGTATTGACAAAAATGCTTCTTGTTGCTAGCTGAGAATCAGAGCAGTGGGAGACTTGCATAAACTAGTGATGAAGAACAGGAGTTGTGTAATACATTAATACTGAGTAGGATTAATCTCATCTAAGAGCAATTATTTTATCCTGACGAGGCCACCATAGGCTCCCTTTGTGTTCTGTACAGAGAAATAGGCGTCTCCATAGAACTGTCCATCTCACCCCATCCTAATATAGCTGTTTGAAAGTCATTACTTTTTGGAAGTCTTGACTTTTCTTCATATGCAAAGTTAATACAAGGACCACATAAAAAAGGAACCTGCAGTGGCCAACTGACATTTAAACTGCTATATCTGAGACAGCTTTGTTAGGTGAGGTGAATCCTGTCCTACCCAGTGAAGAGTTTCCAGCATACACACAAGCACAAGACCATATCACAATGCTGAGGCGCTGGAAGGAGTTTTGGAGCATTGACTCTCTCTGCTCTTGTTTAATATTTAAATATGTTCTTACCTGAAGGCAGGCGTGTGTTCAACACTTTTTGTTGTCAATGTTACTGATGTTGTTGGCTCTTAAACAGGTCAGGAAAATGTGAGTGCTGTCCTTCTTCCACAAAGGTTGCAAGAAACCAATATGATTGATTTAAACCAATTAAATTCTGTTTGGTACCAGAGCAGAAGGAGAAGTGGGCTCAGGGAGATATTCAGATCACTGAGTGTGGGTTTCTGTAGAAGTTTACACCTGAGCTAGACTCCTAGCTCCCACTGGTAGTAAATGGAGAGCTGGAGGAGTACAGCTAGGGGAGCTCCAACTGAGATTGTCTCATCACAAAGTTGATAGTTGTATGTGGCTGGATGAATTATTCCTCAAAACTCTATTGGTCTGATGAAAGGCTCAGTTCAGTTGTGAACTTTGGCATGGGTGCCAAGTGCCATTTTCATTGTCCTGGGATACCCTAGCTGGTGAAGGGCACAGTATCTGTCAGCCCCAGAGGATGCTGTAGAGCATGTCAAAAAGCATCTAACACAACTGTCTAATGTAAGGTCAGAGGACTCTCACATCCTTATTTTCAACTTGGGCCATGAAGTAGTCAAAGGTAATAATACCTCATTCCTTCATGCATTGAACATACATAATTCAGGATAGCTGTCCCTCTTCACTCTCTGCTGAAAACATTATCAACTGAAAGTGTATCTACTCCTGCAGATGTGCACTGGATCACATCTGAAGTGTATTGGCCTCTCCCTCCAAATGACTGCTCAGCTTAGTGAAATCTTTGCCTAAGTACATATTGTTAAATTCTGAACTCCTCACTCATCATCAATAAATCTGTATACATAAAAGATATAACACTCTGTGCTAGCCCAAGATGACATCTTATATTTACACAGGACATTTTTTCCAAATCAATTCATTTTAAAGTTCCTTGTAAAAGTGCAGCTAGAGTGTAGTACTGAACCTGTAGCAAGAGACAAGCCAAAATTTCCTCCTCTGGTTAAAGTTTTTAATGGGTGTTTTGCTTCATTTCTCCAGCTTATTATTATGGAAAGAGGAAAAAAATCATTAAGCCACCAATTGGGGAAAATAACAACATGAAAAGTGTACATGTCAAGCCAGCCAGACGCAGAAAAAGGCGGAAATCCATCTTTGTGCAGAAGAAAAGGAGGTCGTCGGCTGTTGATTTGAATGCTGCAGGCTCTGCAGAGGTACGTGTTGCACTGGGACAAATCAACAAAAGCCCCTTGGTGCTTTCTTGTCCCCATATCTGCATATTCCTTTTGGAGGACTTCTCATCAAACCTCAACACTTCCATTCTCCATTTTGAATCCCTCCTTGCTACTCTGTTCTTCTAAGGTCAGACTGGTTTTACTGGGACACTCTGGGACTTTTACCCTGGTCCGTTCTAGATTTAGCAAGTAGAGTTTTTTCTCCAACCTTCATAATGCTCACTAGCTAATATGCAGTCAAATATTATATCTTTATTTTCTTTTGCTTCCTTCTAAGCCTGTAGGCTGGCATATGAGCCTGTTAGATGCTTTGCACAGCATCTAGCAGAGTGAAGGAGGGCTGTAATCCATGTCTAAAGTCTCTAAATATTATAATAAAAATAACTCCTGGGCCATTATAGTTTCAAGGGCTTTTATTTTTTTTCATTAACCATAATATTATTGTTTCACAACATCAAACAATAGATGTTCTAGAAGCTTTAGAAAGCAAGCAAATGCTTTGTGTCTTGAATATATGGTATTTGAGGCCTCAGTCTTTCCAGTATGCTATGTGATATGACGAGATTCCAACTTCAGTAATGATTTGAGTCCATATACCACCTGGAGCAGACTTAGTTCTGTGTGGACCATTCCTGGGTGGTTTTCCCATGATAGTAATGACAAAGTTCATGTGTGCTTTCCCTTCCTCATGAGTGCCAGTGATTGCTGCTTTGTGCAGTGTGGAATAAAACTGATTTACTTAAATTCCCTTTACTTCAGCTGGAGGGGGATATTTTAGGCAGCTTTCAGTTGATGACTTGGTCCTCATTTGAGTGTAGTTCTACTTCATTTCCTTTGATTATACCTGCTTTGAAGGAATTTAAACTCATGTTAAGCCTAAATCAACAATTAGCCAAGTTTTTGAACCTTTCAGCCAACATAAGTAACTTTGTCTAAAATTGCTCTTCCACTTAAGACCTGAACATATGGCTTGGACACATGCTCACACTTTGATCAGAGCTAAGCTGTCAAAGCTGTTTGGGCAACTTAGGTTTATATATAAAGTTCGAAATGCACAGTTTCCATCAGTTGGTGTGTGCTTGCAAGCTCTGTGTGACACAAATAACAAGAATCTGGTATAATATCCTTTAAATAGAAATTGGCCATTCAATTTCAGCAGTGAGGTGTTGAGATAAAAGCAGGGAAATCTGGGTTAAATCCTCTGTCTTGGGTTTTACAGAAAAGCCAGCTAAGAAATCAAGTACGAGTATGCACTTGTACATCTAGATATTTTCAAAAGGCATCAAAATTTCCTTTCTTTCAATACCAATGACACCCATGACGATTTGAAGCAAGGTGAAGGTTTAAATTCAAGCCTAGCTGTGATTTTATTTCACCTCAAACAACCTGAATTTCATTTTATCCTTTCTGTCTTTTCCATTTCCCTTCTTATGCACATGTGCGGTGCCACAAGGTTTGAGATACCAGCCCAACAGAGGAACATTTTATACCAGATGAGTTATTGCTGTTGACCTTTTGTTAGAAACAGAAAAAGCATTTGTCCATTGTGTATTCTTTTTTTTTTTTCTTTTTTTTTTTTCCTACATTTTATAACAAATCTAAATTGAGGGCTAATATACTTACCCATGTAATGAAAATGAGATAATTGGGTTAAAATAAAGGTTACTTTGGATTGCATGGGCACTGGCATGCAGTTTGACCCAGTGCCTTTCGATTTGCTGCTGTATTAATCTCCGAGCCCGGATGCTGTTTCTCTGATGGTCCTTGTGCAGGAGAGTGAAGATGATGAGCCAGATGCGATGGAGGACGAGACGGGAAGCGAGGAAACCAGCTCAGAGCTCCGGGACGATCAGACGGATACCTCCTCTGCTGAGGTGCCCTCCACCAGGCCCCGGAGAGCAGTCACCTTGCGGAGCAGCACCGAGTTGGACAGACCTCCTCCCACGGAGAGAGCCCGACGGAGCCGGAGACCACAGCCCCACTCCTATGGCGAGGCAGAAAAGTGCACACCAGTCAAGGAAGTGAGTAGGCCCATAGGCTTTAACTCCCAATTAATAGCAATATTCTTCCTAAATTAACCTTCAGTGCCATGCCTTCCTCATCTGTGGAAGGCATGGTTCTCCACACAAGATAGTTTTCTTTATGAGAGCTTTTGGGTTTTTTGTAGGAAATTAAGCAAGAAGAAGAAGAGAAGCTCATCCTGGACAGTAATCCATTGGAGTGGACTGTGACTGATGTTGTGAGGTTTATTAAACTGACCGACTGTGCACCCCTTGCCAAAATATTTCAGGAGCAGGTAGATGTCTTCATGTAGCTCTTCTGTTTGTGTCTGTGGCGTTTATTCACATCACACAAAAAACGAGCAGCACATGCCATTTTGCTAGCTGGGCCCAGGGTTTTTACAAAGAGATTATAATCAGACTTCAGATCCCTCAGGCCAAACTATAGCACGGATTCTGGCAAGGCAGGAAAGCCCTTGGAAACTTGAATTAGAGCCTTGCCAGATCCTCAGAGGGATCAGAAACACCCAGCCAGAGTGCTTGTGAAAGCAGGAGGTTTAGACCTTTCTTGTTTGTGCCAAGGTCCACAGCACCATCCTGATGTCACACAGGCACCTTGGTGTACCAACAGATAGTGGTTATTTGGTACCTAGCAAGCTGTCTCTCTTGGCCATGTGGGTTCCACCCTGGTTTAAAATGCTGGCCTAGGAAACAGAAAGCTGCTGCTTGAACCCAAAACTGTCTGCCTGAATTTTGCCCCTAACACCTAGATGCTTCAAGTATGTAGATGCCTCCTTCACATCTACATCCCTCTGAAGATCTGGTAGTTAGGCCTTAGGATGACCTAATTTTAGAAGATGCCAAGCATGTGCCCATTAAGCAGATAGCAGGAGCAGAAGCTAGTGCTCTTCATCTCTAGTTAGTCTGAATGTGTAAAATTTCTATAGAAATAGCAATTTCTTCGCTAATGAGCAGCAGCCACCGCTGAAAGTAAAGGGCAGCGCTAAGAACTCATGGAAAGAAAGAAGTGTGTTTAATTAGTCCATAGCCGATGGCAGTCAATGGTATGGCCAGCTGCACATGGAACTATCTCTGATTCTTCACCATGAATGACTGTACCTGAGTACAGCTGCTTTGTCTGGGAGAAGTTGAACTGCAAGTCCAGAGCCAGACTGAAACACTCCATAGCAAGGCACCGTATTGACTGTGCTGCAACATGTTCTGACCGTTTGTTAATCAGTCTGGAATAAAGCCAGGGCTTGAAAGCCAACCCTGTCTCTCCTTTGCCAAAGAGTTTTATGGGGACTTGAATCAAACACAGATGACTGGAGCTTTTCCTTGTGAATTTACAAGGAAGCTCTGGTGCAATGGGCCATGCTATCAAGCTTCAGTGGAGGAAGAACCTGAGCTATGGACAGTCCTGATCAAAGCAGTGCTTAAGGGTGTCCAAATCCTCCTTGTGTTTAATGCTACCTAACCAGGAGTTTATGTTGCCTGTGAGTTATGGTGTTTTTTCTACACTTAGACTCTGATTTTCCCTACAGGGTAAAAAGCAGGTTTGTAGCCTAATCATCTGCTTCTCAGTCCATTAAAGAATAAGGAGGACTTGATCTCTTAATTAAGAAGAGGATCATAAAGCCAACAGAAATCCCTAGTAAAATGGCTTTTGTCTAGGCTAGGGTGATAGTTCATGGAGTTTGATGCATAAATATGCCTGTGGGCAAGAGATGACCTCTAGAGGTCCCTTCCAGCCCACACCATTCTGTGATTCTAGGACATTGAAGACTGATGAGCTCAAGTACCCTCTGTTTCAGTTGTTCAGCTGATGTGTAACAAGGCAAGTCCAGGGTGGACTAGGGGACATGGCATGGAGCAAGGCAGACATAAACCTGAGCTAAGCAAACTATGGGACAAAAGAGGTGGGGGAAGGGTCTGACTTGGCAGTGGGACCTCTTCCCTCTCCTGTGTCTCCTGGTGTGCTCTCTGCAGCCTCCCCCTTTGCCTCAGTCTCTCAGCCATAAAATGAGACTAATCAGATCTTCTTGGACCCTGCAGAATTTCTGCAGAAGGTTATGCAGCATTTCAGCAGCATGGGAGGCTTTTCCTAAACTGAGGGAAAGGTCAGAGCCTATGAAGACATGCTAAACAAATTTTAGAAAAGCATCAGGTATCCCAGAGGAAGGAGATGGGCAGCATCAAAGTGGGAGAAAAGCGCAGAGGACAAAACAGTCTTTAATTTTTAGGGCAAACTTCCCTTCTTGCTTCTCCAGACCTGATTATGCTTTCTCCCCTCCAAAGTCCACAAACAAAACCATTTTCCTTGTCTTTTTCTTCCCCAGGACATCGATGGCCAAGCCCTTCTGTTGCTGACACTGCCCACAGTGCAAGAATGCATGGAGCTGAAGCTTGGACCAGCCATCAAACTGTGTCACCAGATTGAGCGAGTAAAAGTTGCTTTCTATGCACAATATGCCAACTGACTGCACTTCTCCATTTCTTTCTGTTCTCCTTCTTGTTTCTTCTCTTTTTTAACATTTCAAGAGGTTGTTCAAGGGGTTTTTTCCTCCCTCTCCCTTTTCCAAGAACATGCGGAATTGGAAGCACTGGGGATTAATCTGTAGGGAAGGAAAAAAAAAAAGAACACAGCAAAAAACTAGCAACAAATTGAACTAATTTTTCTGTACTTGTAAAGCACACTGAAAGACTGCTGGCATCTCTCCTCATGAGCCTCACCAGCCCGTTACACAGTGGTGCAAGTCCAGCATGGATCAAATGGTTTGTCCTTCATTAAAACAAAGCAACTGATGTCAGAGGCATTCCCAAGGAGAAGGAAGAGTCGGACATTTCTGGATGATAATGGTTTATCTAGGTCAATTTCTGGACATGAACAATTCTTTTAGCCAACTCTTAACACACTTCTTTCATATTGAAATGTAAGTGATCATTTGTAGCATTACCTGGGGTTTACTGCAAATTTGATCTTACTGATCAATGGGCTTTTTTCCTCCTGCCTCTCCAGTCTTACAAGAGGAAAAAGTATTGTACCAGTCATACGATGTTTGTTATTCCTGAGTGATTTATAAAAGGGGACTCAACTCACCGTGTCTCTACGGTATCAGATGAAGCTGCAGCAAACTGGCAGGGGTGCAGCCAGACCTAGTGTGGAGTAATGCGTCCTGAGCTGCACTGACTGTGCACAACAAGCTGGATGTCTCTGTGATGAGATCTGTACGGTACTGTGTTCTTGTACAGGAACATGCATGAAAGCTTTCATAGTCAAACCCATCCTCTTAAATCCAAGTCACTTTAAAGACCTGACTTTGAGCCCCATGGGGTGAAAAAAAAAAGGCTAAATCATTCAGATTTGATGATGAGACTATTGAGTGAATGCTGGTTTTATTTGCACGTTCATGGATCCGGTTGCTAGGTGGGAATAAAAAGCACCAATTTTTTTCAGGCTGCCTATGCCATGGTGCTTTAGACCAACTGAGGATCTGGCCCAACACAGTCTATATAAAGCCCCCAGATTGTCCCAGTGCCACCCTGGCTGGTGAAACTGGGGGCTTGCTTCATACCAAGCAGGGTAAGCACCAGAGAAGGTGAAGAAATGGATCAGATGCTTTGGATTTGCCTCAGTTGTATTTCTAGGAGAAGTATTTACCATTTACATTGCAGGGATATATGACCCCATTAGTCCCACATGTTGAGCCTGAATTTGTTGTAACTCAGCAGAGGTTGGTGGCATCACAATGATGTAAAATTCTCCTGAAAGCAAGAACCAAACTGAGACCAAGTCTGAATTTTGCTCTGACTTTAAGGTGCAAGTGAATCCCTCCCTCAAAAAGTGAATTGGATGATTTGTGCTGAGTTTTAACCTGATTTCATAGGAAACCACTGACTTCGGCAGACTTTTGTTCTCAAACCATAAACAGACCCCCTGTTCCCTGCCCTCAGGGAACTCAGCTTGGAAACTGTACACAGCTCTGTTACAATGCTGTGATGCCAAAACCCACTCAGGAAAGACCTCTTAAAAAGGAAATGCCATTTCTAGCCCTAAATCTGAATGCAGTGCTTATGACCAAATAACCCCCACCTCAAGCACTTACTGTGTGGTGAAAGCAAACTGGGATCAGTTAATTCTGCTGACCACTGTGCACTCAGAAGAACCTACTGATGAACATCAGGCTATAGCTGCTGGTTTCTACTTCATCAGTTTCCTCCTCAAATTCTCTGGATTAAAGAAGGAAAGCCTCATAAATAAATATTCTGGTCTACATCTGTATCTGCCCTAGGGCATGTGTTAGGCAAGAAGTATTGACTCCGTTTGCCATGTATTGTTGGGGACTTTATGGTCTTGTCTTTCAGTGAGTTTCCTGATTTGCCACTGAGGAATGTGATCGGTGCAACTTCTGCAGGCTGGGCCAAATCCTGCCAACTCCTGAGACTTCAAAAATTTTCTAACATGGGAGATCGGCAGGACCGGATCTGCTCTCAGTTGTGGTCTTGCACAGAAGATCTTGTTCTTCAAGTTTTAATCAACTGAAGGGAAGAGCAGTAGTCACTTCTCTGTCAAACGGGGGGTTTTTTTTGTTTCTCAGAAATCCAGGAATGGGGTTCTGTAGTCTTGCAGACATAAAAACTGGTGTTTTAGACTGCCTTTCCTACTGACAGTGGCAGCAGACTGTGTCCATGCAACTGGTTTGATAACTGCTTTGGATCCCTCTTAGGGTCCCCTGAAAATGTTGCTCCTTGTTTCGTCTCTGAAGACAAAAGGATTGTGCCCAGCAAAATGAGAGCACAGCTGAGAAAAACAAGGAGGATGCTTCTCCCAGCTCCTCACTTCAGCCTGGTCCCCATGATGGCTGGTATAATGTCTGTCAGCTGGAGATAGCTCCCAAAAGACTGCTGTCAGGAAAACCAGTGCAGGAGGACATTTTAAGGAAGGGAAGCAGAATGGGTGTTTGCCAAACAGCATCCCAGCACTGGTCCTTTACTTACCACATCCACCTTCTTCTGGGCATCCTTCGCTGGAGTTTCTGGCCACTGGGGTTTGTCAGAGAAGTTTAACACTTCCTGGGACATCATTGCTTTCTCCATCAACCTCGTAACTGTAGATATTCCTATGGCAGCTACTCATGGAGGCATGATCAGGGAGCAGACAGTCACAGACTCTGGGAGAAACCAGCCCTGATGCTGGCTAAGCAAGGGATGGGTGAAGCATTGAGCCCAGCATATGAGAGTCATTACTGATTGTTCAGGGAAGTTAAATAATGTTTAAAACTCACTCATTAAAAAAAAGTTTAATTTTTAGCTTGCTCCAGCTCTCTTATTTCCTCAGGTTTCTCTCTCCTCACCATTTGTCTTTCAATTTACTGTTCTTCAGTGTCATCTTATGTATCACTCTGTCCTTTCGGAGAAGATGTTAACCTGAAATCTGTACCCTAAAATTACCTTGGGTGGGAAATGCTTTATAATTTCTTTTAGTCTGCAGGTTGGGAAGAAATAGGGGATTGTGCTACTGTTTTCTGTTGCACTGATTGCCTTCCAGAAAAGCTGGAGGTGAACTTCTGAAACAATTTCTTAAGCAAGTGGAAAATGGACTGTGCATAGTTTAATTGGGCAGTATGCTCTGGTTGTCACTTACAGCTTGAGCAGAGATCAGAAGGAACTATTTACTCTTGCCTGGACTTCATTTCAATTCTGGAATATTAGCAGGGCTTTAGTGTAATGTGCTTCAAAGGAGATTTTGAAAATTCAATCTCGTTAGGGTGAAATATCACTTTACTTTGCAATGTGGAATTATAAGGCACTGGAAGTTTTTTTTTGGTCCAGCCCTGGTTCTGAGTTAAATTCAGACCTAGTGCAACTTCACAGACACACCAATGACACTGGTGAAGCCACATCTTCTCCTCACCCTCTTCTGAATTTGGCTTCCAGGCCTGAAGTTTATTGTATTATCAGCTACAAAGGCCACCACTGTGAAGTGCTGAACTCACCATTATCCAACCATTACCAGGAGCTGAGGAGCAACCCTTCTGTTGCTTTTGGGCTGTTGGATGCTGAACTTCAGCACATTCCCACAGACCACTTTGCTCCCACAAGAAGGGTATGCAGACACCTGTTATTGACCTTTCTTCAGGCATAGACCCAAGGATGGGTGTTTCTGGAACAAAAGTATGGGGTTTTGAAGAGTGTGCAGTACCTGCCCATCTTCATCTGCACTGGCTTCTTTTGGGCTTGCACTCAGTCAGGTTGAACAGATCCATGAGCAGGTCCCTGCTCCCTTCTCACCCACCTCAACACTCGACAGAACCAGACAATTCCCAGTCTGCAGACCCAAAGCACCAGTCTCTGAAATTGGATTAAAGCATTCACTTAGAGGAATGTCCATGATTCCCTGGCTGGTTGTCCTGCCTTCCTCCTGCTGTCATGGGTGCTTCTCTCCCACCTGGAAGAAAATTACTCTCTTCAGTTTCAGAGCTCTTCTTCCCTTTCCAGCTTGAAAACACAGCTCTCATCTACACCCCTGTTTTTTTTTTCTCAATGCCAGGATGACCAAACCCTGGCTTTTTCTACCTCTCAGAGGCGTAATGGCCTCTTAGCTCTGAGAAGGATTTCAGGGTCTCCCATCTCCACTGTGTTAACCATATAAAATAGTCCTTGGTCCTGCAGGGTACAAGAAACCTCCTAGAAATGCTGTGTGCCCTCAGTAACCACTGAAAACAGAACAAATGGTTACACACCCTGTCCTTAGTGAAGCATCTCGCAGAGGCATGTCCTAGCTGAGATTGCCTGACTCACGCTGTATTTGAATGTCTGCTAGGATTTACAAAGTGTCTCAGTAAGTTAGACACCTAAACCCTATTAATATTTCACTCTGGGTAAAGAGCTAATTTGCCTTAAATTGTAAAGTCACCATTCCTTGTTTTAACCTTCAACCTTTTGTAGTCCCCAGTCATGTGATGTGGAGCAAGCACCATCTCAACTCTTTGAAGGCAAACCAGACACTGTTGTGCTGCCATAATCAACATTTGGTCACCTGAAAAGCCTGCCTTGGTCTTTTCAGGGCATAAAATTGAATTTGGCAGAGCTGTAGTGCCATCTCAATGTTTTAGAAGTTCAGTACCATCAGGGCACTTCAAATACTTTTTGCTTTTCTGGTACAGTGTGTCTGGAAAATGATGAACTCAGATTGTTCCTCCCATTTCCAAATTCTAGTGCCATAAGAGAAGAACATGCTGCAGCTGAACACCATTACAACCAGCTTTATTACACGTGGATAAATATAGACTCAAGGGCTCCATTTTGGTGCTACGATATGTCACACTTTATTTTCTGTTGCTTGAGATTACAAAGCTGATTCCCTACTCCAGGAAATATTTTCTGTAGTTAGCAATGTCTTAAGCATTAGGATTTTATTTTTTTTCTTGTGGCTGTAGATTTTTAAATTTAGGTACACTCAACAAATACCACTTCCCCC